AAGAGTCTAGAACAAGACTCGAATCAGGATCTTCTGATCACGAAAAGATCGCCCTACCACTACTCCACCGCGACCAGTAATTAAACATAACCCCTCATCAGAGACACCTGACTTTACTTTTTTTCTTTGAATAAGAAAATTATACCCCTACCTACAAAAACACAAGGTACACATTGGGCGCTATCTTGAATTTTTTTTTTAGGTCGGTCACATTAACTTGTATTTAAGCCTGAAACTCCATTCAATTAAAAGTTCATTGAATCGAATAGACCTTAAAATGCATTTTTTTTACAGTCGACAGAATTTTTTCCCCAAAAATCATATCATGTCATGTACATTTAGAAGCATATCAAAACTGCATGATTTTTCACAACCAAGTAATGTTTTAGTCCGAATAATGTTATGTATACTGGTAAGTGAGATAACTCTTTTATCAATTTGTAACTTTTTATTCACAATTATCAATGTTTTGTATTCAAGTATAATTTCCCCAAACTTTTTAACATCAATTCAATATATCAAAAGTAAGACTGATAGATACATCAAATTAGCATTCATAGGTGATTTAGTTATTCTCTATTTGTGTTTCTGAATCAACAAAATTTTATTAAAGAAAAGCATATACCAAAACTTGAATAAAATGTATAGCACTATATATGTATTTTCCGTATTTGTAGCCATCCTGGACATTTTAAGATTTTACACTGTAAAAAGATACTTTAATTAAAACTCAGATTATGAAAAAAATATTTCATAACAAATACAAAAACTGATCAATAATTTTGAACGGGGTATCTCGTCAAAGAAAGAAAATTTATAAATTCCAAAACAAACTCAAATTTGGTACCTGTACAAAATTTAGATATATTTTTATGTCATATTAGAAGAAACATGATTATATAGATAATTATTTCTATAAGGAAGTCTTATCATAACATTTAAATTTGATTGAGATTGTTGTACATCTAACTTTAACAGTGTTCTTTAACCTTTGATTATTTTCAGTGCTTTTACAAACAATTAAGGTTTAAAGCATCTATTATATATTTTTTTCTGCAAATATTGGCTTTTTCAAAAAAAATATCTTAAGCTTACAAGATTGTTATTGATTATCAGATGAAAAATACAACAAAAGATATAAATTACTATGGACCACGTTAATTAATTTTATCATTAACACCTATTCATCAAGACTCTTGTACTTACTTTAACTTAGAACCAATTATGTTGACTAGGGGACAACATATTACTATGCCAAGAGCCATGAAAATCATATTTAAGACGTAGATAAGTAAAATTCTCTATTAGTAGATATTTCTAGGCGTCATATTTTTTTCAAAGTGAGGATCCCTCCCATAATTGACCAAGCTGCTGATGCAAACTTTTGTGCCCCAGCTTAATCATATATGAAAAAAAAAATAAATTGTAATCGAAATGTGACAAAACAAATAAATAACAAACAATATTATCATATAAAATTTGTCTTCGACTTCAACGAAATGACAAAAATCAAAATGTCAATGTCACTGAGAAAAAATTTATTTTAGCTCGGTCTTTTGATACAGCACTCATCTTCTCATCCTCGTTCTCTTTATATGATTTGTAGAAATGTACGGTCGATAAATCTTGAGAACGATATAAGTGTGCAAGAATAAGCAAATTATTTCACAGTGCCCTCTATCAAAATAACAGCATTGCTTTATGATAAACGTGATATCTTCAATTTTTCAATCGTCAGCTTCCCTTACATATATGCAGCAATACATGAATATCCTTATCACCATGATGGGGTTATATCTTTAAGTTCATTTGATACGCAAAAACATACTTCAGCTTATCAACAATGTATGAAACGAGATGGTTATTGACAAATAAAATGGTGAAACAAGAACTAGTATAACGATGGTCTCTTTTAAAGTCATCATTTCATAAGTTCTATGATCGATATAATGACCTTGTCAGTGAATGCAATTTTTCACTTCAATTTTAATGAAGTCAAATGCTCACTAACGTTTCTCATGCAAATTGTTAAATCATTATTTACACACTGAATTGTTGACGGATTTCCCCGTTATTTCCCCATCATTAAAAGGAGCACAGGGCTGGTGTGACGAGGAATACCCACCCCTAAATGACGCCTAATGCTACTTCTGATGTGAAAGAGGTCCATGTATGCTCAGTACCTGATTATATTGTTTAATGGACTTTTGTAAAAAAAAAAAAAAAAAAAAAAAAAACAAAAAACAAAAAAAAACAAAAACAAATAAACAAAAAAAAACAAACAAAACAAACAAACGTTAACAAACAAACAAAAAAACAACAAAAAAAAAACAGCATGGAGAAGTTGTTTTTTTTATTATTTTGTTTTTTTACAAATCTTCTCTACATTGTTTTTATATGAATATGAGTTATTTAGTATGTGTAGTACATAATATGGTAGTTGAAGCCATATACATTGTATGTACAACTGTATATGAAGCATCCAATTTATTTACTTTAACGTTTCATGGATTGGGACACTGGGGGATAATTTTGAATAAGTTACAAATTGTATATATTGCGTTGCATTAAACTAAAAATGAACTTGAATTGAACTTGAATATATTATACAAATGGAGATAATCGTAATTTGGGCAATCTACGTTAGTATAATTGAAGTATCAGACGTAGATAAAATTAATTTTTGATGAATGTCAATAGTCTGTAAATTATGTTTGGCGTATATACAAATGATCGTCATTTGTTAGAACATTGTTAAAATCTGTACAATAACCGCAACATTGCATCCCATTTCCATTCAATATAATTTATTCTCACATTGCGTTTCTTGTGTAAAACACCATAAAAAGTAACAATAATATCGATCGAAAATTTTTCGTATTAAAATGAAGCAGAATTTGTTCAAAAGCTGTTACTTGAACGAAAGAAACATTTGCTGTGGCCTTCAATTCGACATTTAGATATATCGCCGATATTTGTCAATTCACAATGGTTATATCTACACGATATATCCCGGTGAGTTTGAAATAAAACACAACACATCCGTTTTATATATGGATATTTTATTAGAAAAAGACGTTAATAGAAATCTTACAAAAAGGCTTTAAAATAAATATAACTTTTTAATTTCCAACTTCCTTTTCTCATGCAGCAATATACCCTTATTACCTGCAAATGATGTTTAAATCTTTCAGTTAATTCGATACGCAAGCGCGTGCTCTACGTTTTAGCAATTTCTCAAACGAGATAAGTTATTGAAAAACAAATTGATGAGACAACTATCAAATCTCTTTTAAAGTCATTTTTTCGTAAGTTCTATGGTCGATACAATGACTTTGGCAGGAAGTACAATTTATCATTAATTCTAAAGCTGACTGATGTTTTTCATATTAATTGTTAGGTCATGTTTACACTTTTAATTCTCGACCAATTTTTTTAATTCTCCGATCATGACAAGGGGCACATGGAGGGTGTGACCAGTCGAGAAAGAATGCTCACTTCTCCATCGCACCTGATCCCACCATTGACGTTTTAGAGGATCGTTTGCTGAGGACTGCTCTAAATTTGTAATGTGTAATGGACTTTTGGGTTTGAATACTGTTGTTTTCTCCACATATTTAAATATGAGCCAAGAGTGTACCATTTATATGAACCTCGAAGGGTAACACTGTGATTAGCTATAGTTATGAATTTACAAATGATGACGGATGAAAGATATGGAGATAACGAACAGTATTCAAGATCTAAAGTCCATTAAACAATATAAAATAGGAGCAGAGCAAAAACAGACCTCCAAAAAATCAGACGTGGGATCAGGTGCCAAGGAGGAGCGAGCATCCCCTGCCGACCGGTCACAACCGCCGTATGCTCCTTGTCATGATTGGGAAATAACGGAAAAATCCGTCGTCAATTCAATGTAAAAATAATAGACTAATAATTGGTATGAAAAGCGTCAGCATTTGACTTAATGATAAATTGTAATTGCTGACAAGGTCCTTGTATCGAACATAGAACTTACGAAATAATGACTTTAAACGGGACTGCTGATACTCTTGTTTCATCAATTTGTTTGTTAATAATTTAACTCGTTTTAGAAATTGTTCGCACGTAGAGCATGCTCTTGCATATCGAATCAACTGAGATACATAAACTCCATATGCAGGTGATGAAGGTATATTGCTGCATAAGTAATGGAAGTTGATGATTAAAAAGTTAAAATCATCATCACTTTTATCATAAAACTTGGCTGTTAAATTACCATTAACGTCTTTTTTCAAGTAAAATATTCAGATATGAAACAGATGTGTCAGACTCTGTGGTATCTTTTATCTCAAGCTCTACAGCATATATCGTATCTACATAAGAATGGAAATTACAATTATTAATTGACAATACGTTTTTACATAAAATAAATGAAAATTTAAAGAATTTCCGTCTTGGTCGTGTTATATACTGTGTTGATGGTAGATAAATTGTGTGGAGATATCGAACATTATTCGAGAGGTGGGATCGGAGGAGTGAGCTGAAGTTTCTCATTAATTTTTATATTTTATATCTTCATATTTCATTTAAAATAGGATAAACACAACCAATTTATCAAACATATCAATTGGGCAATCGAAAAATAAATTAATTTAAAAAAAAAAAAATTTTAATTATAAAGTGCATAGGTCTAGTTACTCTTTGATCAGTTAATTTTCTTGTACTATAAAAGGATCCTATTTATAAGAAAACCACTCCTAATTGGTACATATTTAAATTCTGTCTTCATCCATACCCCTTTATCTATACAATTAATCAATACGTTTGTCTAATGCCATTTTTTCAATTGAAATTTAATTTTAAGTAATTTGAAAAACATTTCTGCGGAAAAATAATCTTAGTTCTGACAGAAGGTCATTAGGACTAATCTCTTGTAGAGCAGGCTAATATTTCACTTGGTTAAATATGCAAATTGTCCCACGATAAAAATTGCTGGGCAGACAAATGTAAATTGCAATACATAAACAGTTAACTAAATTTTCATTTGGAATTCGTTTGCCATTTTGTATCATATAACCTCTCGATTAATTAGGCGTAACAGTTAATGATTATTGATTAATGTCACTGGATCAATGACTGTGAAATATTGGTAGCCACAAAAGATAGATAACAACAGTCCATTCCACTGACAAAACTTACTTTGAATTCACCTTAGGATTTCTATTTTTAAAAAATGTCACAAAAATTGACAAGCATTTTCATTGGAGTTGTGATTATATGTGTGTGCATTGGTGAGTATGTTTCTCTTGTGTTTTAAAGCGTTGATATGAATAATTAATCCTTCTTTATTATTGTTGGACAGTTAATATGGTTAATACTATTATATTTTTTTCTGCAAAAATATGGAATGCAACCATGCAATTCCAGACATTGCTTCGACTAGAAAAGTTGGATTTTGTTTTTATTATTGTTTGAAAAAAAAAAATCGTCTATATTATGCTTTGTGCAAAAACACATGGGTTTGTTCTTTTCCATGTACATGTTATTAATGTTAACGCGACATACATTTGCTAAAGACATGTTGCGTTAATGTTTATCGTCGATAATAAATTTCGTGACTGACATTTTTATGCACTTTTTGAGGTTTCTTTTTTTCTTTGGGTATTTTTTGGTCATTTTGATGACCAGTTATAGTTCTATTTCCTTTGATTTCATTATGTTTTTCATAAGTATTATCGAAGTAACTTCATGCAATTTAAACATTAAGAGACGCGTTTTAACGAATGTTGTATATCCATTAGAATTCAAACAAAAAAGTAAATTAATTTGCGTGTTGATAGGAAACATTTATCACTTCATGGCATTCTTAAAAATATAAAATGCCAAAATATCCATATCCCCATTAAAGGCCAGGTTTAAGGGAAGGATTTTTGTCTGGCTTCTGTGTATAAATGTATCCTTCTCTGCTTCCAAAAATTACTACCGAGCAATGAATATAGTAATATATGTGATAACAGACTTGAGCAAAAAGGCGGATTTTGTCACATACAAATAGTTGAAAGTTTTTGTTTTAGTTTCATTTTGATTCTTATAACTTTTTTTTTACCTTTTGTGAAAATAAGAAAATTTTAAAAGTGCATTTAAGAAAAAATTATATTTACTATACATCACCAACTGTTATTTGTGACGACATTATTTCACGATTGACCGGGGATAAGCTAGATCGCACATCACACCAAATAATAATAAATATTATAACAATAAATTGATTGGTAATTTTTGAAAAATGCATCAGGTACGTAGTTTTAAGTAGATAATTAATCATTCTGTATTATAATCAAGAATTAAGCTGATATCAATATATTTTTCTTAACTAAACGAAATAAAAATTACAATGGCCTTGTTAGCAAATACAATTTATCATTGAGTCAAATGCTGACTGACGTTTTTCATACTAATTCTTAGTCCATTATTTTTGCACTGAATTGACGTCGGATTTTTCCGTTATTTCCCGATGGATGACAAGGAGCACACGGCGGGTGCGACCGGTAGGATGGGGATGCTCACTCCCCAATGGCACCTGTTCCCATCTCTGATGATTTGGAGGTCCGTGTTTGCTATGCTCGTATTTTGTATTGTTTTATGGACTTTGATATTAAATGTTGTTCGTTATCTCCATATCCTTTGTTTTAGCTGCTAAGTAGCGTCGACAACGTGCGAAAAGAATATACTGTAAACCAATTTTAAATTGCGTCAACTTTTATTAGAGATTTGTCAGTTTGAAATGAATTCCCGGCGATAAATTTTCAAGACTTGAGAAATACTTTCTAATCAATACAAAACAAACTACATAGTAAGTGGCGTTTAATATTCGTGAGTTAGTAGGTCCTGAAACCCGCGGATTTTTCTCATACGTGGCGAAGCGATGGGGGGACAATTTCTACTTTTCTCCTATTTTTTATTAGCTTTGTAAAGTGGGACTGGGTTAAATACGAATAGGAATCAGATGTAAACGATGTACCCCTACCTAAAATTAAGAAATATATCTTATATATGATCTTATTTACCGTTAATTTAGTGACCCATCAAGGTTAATGTGTCAAAGCTAAAGAGCCCAATGGAACATCATCCTTTACAGTCTTTCTATATATACAAGGTCCGGTCAAGATCATGATTTTTTATTTTTTTCTCATCATTTAAAATAACAAAAGAGTAATTCAACCAAGTATGTGATAATAAGATTTAATTCTAAAATATTTATTTCTTTTTTTACAATGACGCATGAAGTCTATTAGGTAATAGTATCAATCTAGGTGAAACATATGGAGATAAGGAGCAGTATTCAAGACCAAAAGTCCATAAAAAAAAATACAAAATAGGAGCAGAGCAAACAAGGAACTCCAAAGCATCGGAGGTGGGATCAGGTACCATGGAGAAACATCCCTTTCAGCCAGGTCATACCCGCCGTGTGAAATAACAGAAAATCCGTCGTCAATTCAGTGTAATAATGAACTAACAATTATTATGAAAAACGCCAGTGAGCATTTAATTCAATGATAAATTGTATTTCCTGACAAGGTCATTTATCGACCATAGAACATAGACTGTTAATATTTTGTTTCATCAACTTGATTGTCAATAATTTACCTCGTTTAAGAAATTGTTCATACGTAGAGCATGCTCTTGCGTATCGAATCAACTGAGATACATAAACATTTTATGCAGGTAGTGCAGCTATATTGCTGAATAAGAAAGTGAAGTCGACGATAGAAAAGTAAGAGTTATCAATTACCATTTACGTCTTTTTCAAGTCAAAAATCCAAATATGAAACATATTTGTCAGACTCTGTGGTATATCTTATCTCCAGCTCACCATGATATATCGTATAGGCACACGTAAGAATGGAAATTACCATTGTTAATTGACAATACGTCGTCGATATATCTAAATGTCGAGTTGAAAACCACAGCAGGTGGTTTCTTCTTTTCAGATTTTAGTACAATACTTATGATTAACAGCTACAAAACCTTGAAAACCCAAAATATTGTTACAAATTTTATTAATTATGCAAAATTTTGATTTCTGTTAAGAGGGCTAAAAAGCAACTTCCGGTAGTGGAAAGAAATTCATTCAACCGTTAAATAACTGATTTGGCAAAATAAAAGTTGTCATAACTTTTTTGGTACATAGTTATAACCCGTATATAATTTTCACCCTAAAATTAGGGTGTTGCGTTTCTATTGACGGTGAGTATATATGGGATGTACATGTACGTCCTCGAATTGATTTAATATACAAGAGCGTGCTCTACACACAAACAATTTCTTAAACAAAGCTAGCTGTAGACAAAAATGTTGATAAAACAAGAATATCAAAAATCTTGATTTTAGACATTATTATGCAATTTAAAAAAAAAACTCTTGGACTCAGTATTTATTTGAAAAGTTACACGAGATCTTTTAAAACCAGTCAATAATTCTCAGTAAGTTAAACTATTGTAGGCAGAAAAGGAAAAAATACAATCTTTTATTCCTAATGTGTCTATACGAAGTTACTGTACATTTATGCAAAATACTTAAAATAATTTATCTATTCAGAAACCTGACCAGAATCCCAAATTAACTCAAACTTTAATTTGAGTGGACAGATCTAAATCTGCAATGTTTCAAAGGCAAAGTGAGGCACTCTTGTTATGAGTGAAATATGTTGTCCTAAATGAACCCACGACCTTCCGATCACGGGTGAATGCTTTACCGAGTGAACTATTGTCAAACAAGAGCTATTTAAATATTGGTTTGTAATAACGATGAAGATTCGTCCTTAAAAATAGTTGTCCTTCTGTTTCAGGTTATCCTGACATGCCTGAGGAACTGCTATTGAAATCCTTGTTTCAGAAATACAATCCGAATGCTCGTCCTGCCACTGTAGCTGTGCCAATCGTTAACGTGGACCACAGCATGGACTTCATTCGTATCAACAGTTTTGTATGTGTATTATGTTGTGAAGTTAGAAAAATCAAATATACGATATATTTAGCTGGTATATGCTAATATTTAACTTCATCTCAAATGCAGTAGACAAGAGAATCATTCAATCCAACTTCCTTTTTGCACTAATTATATACTCGGGGATAAATTTAGATCCTTATAGATCAATCATCTTTCCAAGAGTGTTATGAATTAACCATAATACATTGATTCCATGATTATTAAAACGTGCTAAAAATGCAAAAAGATTCACAAAAATAGACAAGATAATCCATCTTAATCCATTTAAACCCCAAAAGCATTCGATCACAAGAACTCAAGTTTATAAAGCTAGAATTCAAAATACATCCTGTTAAAATACTGCTTTAAATTTGCTTTTATATCAGAGAGATTCTACATTAAAAAGTGATGTCTGGGTGACAATGCGATGGCAGGATCCACGTCTCGTATGGAACCCAAGTAATTATTTTGGTCTGACGTCATTCAGCATCGGATCTGACAAAGTTTGGACACCGGATGTGGTATTATATAATGGGTATACGTTTTAAATCAAAACCTTTTTAAGCACTTTAATTTGCTGAAAAGTTTTTCAACCTACAGGCCATTCAAAAAATTATTTGTTTTAAATGATTAAAAAGCCGAGATTTTTGTGAATGTTACAGTGTGGGTGACATACAGAAGGCTGATCTCTCCAGAAGAATAGTTGTCAATAACAACGGCATGATTCTGTGGCTTTTTCCCGCTCAATTAGAAAGTACATGCGTCACAGGAAACAAACAAGGGGAGAACATATGTCGACTTAAGTTCGGCTCCTGGACATATAATGGACTTCAATTAAACCTCACTCACTCGGACAAACAGTTAGGCATGTCTAACTATTATCCAAATCCGGACTGGGAGATCACAAGCACTAACTCAATGCGTAATGTTATGAGGTATCAATGTTGTCCGGAACCGTACCTAGATGTCTCTTATCAAGTGTCATTTAAAAGTTCTTTGAAGGGATGAATGGATTTGACTGATTAGTGTCATGAATTCAAAATAATGTAATTTTTTAAAAAAATATATATAATTTGTGCTCAAAAAGAATTCTTTAAATTATCATAAATTTAACATTTGAAACTTTCTACTTGCCCCACTGGTACAGAATATTTTCCATACATGTATGCTTCATACATCCCTTGTGATTTTGCTATTATCACTATTATTTTATGTTTGAAAATCTGAAACATAATAACAATGTACAGCGAAGAGGTGTAATTCTATACTAGAGAGATACTCATTTTCAGTGTTTTCTGTTAATTTATAATTCGTAGTCTTTTAACATTTTTTTTAATTTTTTAAAGGAAAAAAGATAATCTTTTGTTGAAAATGTACATATAAATTCATTAGGTTAATCTTCTTTATGTAATACACTTACCCTAAAGAAAAAGTCTTAAGAGCTTCCTATGCAAAGCAGTGCACTCTACAGTGACTAAAAACTAGGGTGTTATATTCATATACAACAAGGTACTTCAGAGAATTGGTGTCCTTCGATAAAAAATGCACGGATCTAGTGAGTTCAAATACGGGAGGGGCTTTAAGAAAGGCCATGAGGATTTGTGGTATAAAATTGTACTGCAAGCACTGAAAGGCTTCTTGAGATATTGCTCGGATTCAAATGTTAAAATAGAAGGAATTTATGAGTTTATAAGCTGATGGCCCCAAACAGATAATTTCCATTGTGAGTTGCGTAAAATTTCTTTGGAAAAGCCAAAACGGTCTTCAAGATATGGCATGGAAAATATAGTGTTACAGACAGACAGAAATACATTCCGAGAGACGAACGGGTGGACGGACAAATCGAAATTAATATCCCCAACTTTTAGTGACATCGGGGAAACAAAGAGTACTAGTTCTAGTAATGTAAAAGATGCCGAAAACGAACAGTGATTGATCTCACAAAAAGCTACAAACAATACAATTATGCAAAAAGGGCAAAAAAACACAGACCCTTAGAAACTTCAGAGGTTGAATCAGGTTCTTAGGAGTGCGCATCCCCTGTTGAATGGTCACGTTCACCATCAGCCCTTCATATTGATCAGGTAGACCTGAGTATTCCTTAGTCAAATCCAATATAAAAACAAAGGTCTGACAAACAGTTTTAAGCTTACTGGGATATATCAAGTTGGCATATGAATGTAAATAAATATTCTTATTTGATTAAATTTTGTAACATTAAGAGAAAGGCTGACATCTATCAGGTTAGTTACATATTGCAAATATGACAGTGATAAGGTTAATTTAAAATCCAGAATGAAGCAAATTATTGACAAACAAGTCGATGAAACAAGAATATTAGCAGTCTCGTTTAAAGTCACCATTTCGTTAAGTTCTATGGTCGATACAATGACCTTATCAGCAAATACAATTTATCATTAAGTTACATGCTGACTGACGTTTTTCATACTAATTGTTAGTCCCTTTTTTATACATTGAATTGACGACAGATTTTTCCGTCATTTCCCGATCATGACAAGGAACACACGACGGGTGTGACTGGTCAGCAGGGGATGCTCACTCCTCCATGGCACCTGATCCCACCTCTGATGTTTCGGAGGTCCGTGTTTGCTCTGCTCCTATTTTTGTATTGTTTTATGGACTTTGATATTGAATACTGTTAGTTATCTCCATATTCTTCATTTGGAAACATGAGAGGAAGAAAATACCCACTTGACATTTAGATATAGTAATATCGATGACGTACCATCAATTAATAATTGTTACTTTCATTCAAATATCGATTCTATATTTTTAGTAGACTTAAAATGAAGGTCATATTGGTATATTTAATGTTAATGATAAACTAACAACAAATCTGTAAGATAAACGCAAATGAATTAAACTTTTCTTTCGACGACCTCCCTTACTTTATATAGCAGTTCAACGGTACCTTATCACCAATGTATTAGGTTTATATCTTCTAGTTGAATCGATTCAATTCACAAGAGAATGCTTTACTTATGAACGAACAATTTTTATAACGTGGCAAACTATTGACAAAGAAGTTGACTAAACAAGAGCAACATTTTAAGTGAAGTTTTAAGTAATCTCTATTACAATGTTGCTATAGATCGTCTTGTTTTGTGTTTTAGATTAAAATCATTTGAACTTTCATTCAAGAAAATTTCTTTAATATTTCTTAATTTCTACGCAAATCTGTTGAGTGAATGTGTAAAACTTGTTCTTTTATTTTTAATTAAGTCCTGTATTAAATATTCCTAGCATTTCATAAATATTCTCTAGGTAAACATATGTGGGGCTAAAGTACCAAGATATTAAATTTTAACAAATGTGTAGATTTGAACAACTTTCCTCTAAATATCTTTCCACCAAAAGAAATGATTTTTTTATGAATTTGTGAGCATTTTTAATTTAATCTTAATGGATTAGCTATGTTATATGGTCGTAAAAAAAGTACTAAGCAAGCTCGTTAATCTATTAAAACAATACAACTTGGGTACAGAGCAAACTGATTATTAGTTATTTTATTAGAGATGGGAACAGTTGCCATGGAGGAGTAATCATTCTCTTTAAAGTTAAGTGGTCCCAATATTTAATATCGCCTACTAGATGAAAACTGTTGCTATAGCCTTTTTTAAACTTGAAAATGAAAATTTGACTAGAAAAGTTTGGTTTGTCTAATGCAATATCCATACTGAAAAAGGTGGGAAAATAAAAATTTGGAAATATTTTCTTTCCCATAATGCCTGAAGATTAGCAATCCATCTTAATATAGGAAGATTGTACTGATTGGCATTAATGTATTAATTTGTGGCGTATTGGTATAATAGCTGCAATGTTAACATGGCGATTTCAAGTTCAAGATGCAAATATGCAATTTGTTACATGATACATTAAAGAACAGTTTTCCACAAATAATGGTAATCCATAATCCATAATGAATTTGAACTGTATCTTAATAAGATTAGGTGATTTTCTTTTCATTTCTTAAGTTGGCCTTTCTTTCGGCAGGGTAACTTAACGATGTGCATTTAAGCACATATGTTGATATTTATGTAATTAGCAATAATACATGCCAAACCTTTAAACAATGCATACTTTGTAAATGAAGACCATTTAATCTTAATAATTATGCTGTAGTTGAGAATTGTGAATTATGCCAGAATATGAGGCGTAGAATAATATTTCCGATATAATTATTACAAAAACATACAACCTGACAATAGTACAATAACTAGTTTTTACTTCACAGATGGACACTCTCTCACACGTCTACATGATCTACTAAAAATAATGTTGACCAGTGTTTATGACTTCGATATTTCAAGTTTATAAAAATATGTTTTTCTTTGAAAGAAATTAACAAGTTTTCATGAAATAACTTGTAAAGTTCACATGTTTTATTTTGAGTCATATGAAAATTTAAAATAGCAATTGGAGAAAAACACGAAAACGAACATCTACAATTTACCAGTGTAGAAATGAATATTAAGGGTTAAAAAAGTACGATATCCTTAGGCATCATGGCATCTTTTAAAATTATGTTATATGTTATGGCTAAAACTCAAAATTGCTTAAATTAATTGGTCTTAACCTTCCTGGTCATTTTCTTTATTTAAGCGTATCTATTGTTTTCAAGCAACTTTTTTCACCTAATTAATAAAATTTAACAAAATCAAGAAATCACAAGCTGAAAAAATGAAAGTGCAAAGGATAATATTGTTCTCCCGCCTACCTCCAAGTCAATTTTCAAAAGTTAACATACTCGAATGATTTTTTTTTTTTTTTTTTTTTTACATTTTTATAATTATATAGATATCTATATGGATTTTCAAAAAACGTAACTAATTTGGTAAAACAAAGAAAGATAACTCTATAATTTTGGTTAAACTTGTGTTTTTCACTATTATTAGAAATCAACGGAAAACGGAAAATATTTTAAAACATCCCCCTCCCCGTGAAACAAAATTCCTTTTTACAGGTAATATGGACTGTCTTTTTACAAATTTATGCCAAAGCTTTTTTCACGGGGGAAGGGGGGGGGCATATGTTTATAGACAGAAAACTAAAACAAGTATATATATTATACTGACAAAACGTCAAAGATACTCATTAATTAATATCCTAAAATGGTATGAGTGCTATTGAGTTCAATCTTCTGTTGCATAAAATACATGTACATGAAACAAAATTCATATATTGAATATAATCAGAATAAATATAATTAATCGTACTACTTTTTAAGATGAATTTACGTTACACACTTTCAGGAATATTTTACAGAGGATAGTTGCCGTTTCTTAATTTAATGAAATATTTTTTTTATGTAGACATTTTTAAAATATACTTCAAACTTTATACGTTTATTGAATTTCTTTACTTAATGACGTACACCACAACCATAGGCGTCGGACGCGGGTTTGGGGGGGGGGGGGGGTTGTAAAGATAGACATAATGTAGGCATTGAATATTGGGGTTTATGGGGTTTATGGGTTTTTTTGTTGGTTTAGCCCCCCCCTTTTAGTTTGCTTCCGACGCCTTAGATACTAATTATTAGAATTCAAAAACAAACGTATGAGGGAGAATTTAACATTAATCCGACTTAACTCAATATGAGTTAAGTCCCGTTATGGAGACAAATAGAGATAAAAAGTTCACGGGAGATAACTCTCACTCAAATGCACTGACTTCATTTAGTCACATCCATTACGCATGTGCATTTGCTCTTCCTTTCCATCTTCCGTCAGCCATTGAAGCTCAGCATCGAGTTTAGTCTCAACAATATTCATCTTCATCTTGTGTTCCTTTGACCATCCAACGTCGGAAATATGAACATAATGATCAGGGCAAATAGATCCTGGACTAAGGGCCCATCCATATTACCCGATGTGTGAATATTATCATAGCATATCTAAAGTATCAACATCCCCAACGACGACATTAACCATGCGCGCAGCAACCACCGCAGTAGATGAATTCTTGTTTGCGAACATGACCTCAATGTATTAATACATTGGTGAAATCGAAACCAACTTTTCGTTGTTATTAAAACCAACGTTTACAAATGGTGCCCACATACATTGGACATTACCAATAGCCACCATGCAGTGATCACGTGCCTCTTGGATCCGCCACGACATAGATCGGTGTCACATATCATCGGGTTCGGACTGCAAAATATTCCATCCATCATGGATTCCGTGTAAACAAATGTGTCGGTAAAATTGTTTTTAATTTTTAAGTGCAGCGAGGAACTTGGCTGTGAATGAACCTTAAGAAAGACATTTTCTGCGAATTCAACCATAGTGGCATTTATCACTTTGTTAATTTAATTGTTAATATTTACTTGCCATTTAATTGAATTATTTGTGCATCAATCAGCTCATCTCTTGACAGTCTTGTTGTAACACTTGTGCTTGTCTTGATATATGCCATTTATTCAATGTTTATTTATTTATTTTTGCATTGACATCACATCGATCATCACCACCATTGTTTGTGCCTCCATGTTGTACACTGGTTGAGAAATATCTTTGAAGAAAGAGTCACAGTTCTGACAGGGAGTGTGAGAGTTGAGGGTAAGCTATGGCTAATTGAGAAGCGAACCATCTACAGATCACGTTCATATACCATAGATTTGGTAAGATTGTGTTTAGCAAGTCTGTTTATATTGTGATGTCTATTTGTGTTGTAAATCGAATTTCATTTGGAAACTAGGAATTGAAATGTTTATAGTGAAAAGTAAAGTATTTTATGATGATGAATTTGCATAATATAATGCATGAAATGTTATTTTACGATCCTTAAAAGTTACGAGGAAAAT